TACTAGTAATTAATCATAAAGGTTTGGGTTTTTAAGTTAATGTTATTTAATGCACAAATAGAGTATTATTTATAGGTTTGTGTTAATTTTGTTAATCTTATATTAATTAAGATTATTTTAATTGTGTAGATTGCTTCCCTTGATCGTGGTCAAGTTTAGTGGACGTACCTTAATTGTTCTCGTAATCAAGTTACATATAGGTTGCTAGGTCCTTGATACAACCTTGAATGCGTGTTTTGGTAAATGATTATTTTAATGATTGTTTAAATAAATGTTGCGTATGAATATTTAAACTAATGATTTTTATGATGAATTAAAAATACATAACTTACGATTTAACAATTTGATCTTTAAAAGTATTGATTGATTTAATAAAATTTGTTTTATAATTCACTTGGTTGAATTAATTGCAGCTCATTATGAGCCTGAGTATTTGAAATTTTAATTGACCCTTTACCCGGGACTGGTTAAGTAAGACCATGAGCTTTGTATGATCTGGTCTTTCCTCGAGTATAGTATAACTTGTTTGGGGGGTGTGCACACTTAGGTGAGGAAAATTAGTTTGGAAATATATCTTAAAATTAAAATTGAGAAGTTTATAAATTGGAAATTTATTGGTTTGGAAAGCTTTTATTGATGGATATTACTGCCTTAGAAGGTTTAAATTTTGTTTGGAATGTCTAATTTGAAAAATAACTTGTGACAGATTTAAATTTAAATGATTATTTCGAAAGCATGTTTGCCTGATAAAAGTATTTACATGCCTTGTACTTATACGTACTTAGCGTTTGTGCTAATCTGTTTTCCTTTTTATTTTGGTTCGCCTTGTTTACCATATTTGGTAAGCAGTCTTGATTTCAGGTGTGGAGTTGTTCGGAGTATGGAATTGGGATCACATAGTTAGAAGTTGATTTTATTTATGTGTGGAGTTTTTATTGAATTATTTTGAAACAATTATTATGGTTACTCATATTATTAATAAAAGTTATTATTTTTCCGTTGCAATTTGAGTAATTAATTAAGCCTTACGTTTTCACGTGGCGGTAATACACCCAAGTCTATCTCTACGGTATTTGTATACGTATAAATATAGTAATTACGTAGAGGGAGATTTGGGGGTGTTACAAAGCGGGACGAAACTTCTTTTAAGGAGGTAGATTGTAATAACGATTTGATAAAATATACTATGTAAATTAGATTATATACATATATATAGGACCAAGTTATAATGAGAACCAATCCTAGAACTAGGAACTCATGAAGACCGTTAGATCTAACAAGAAACACGCCTTAATGAACGGCCAAGATCTATACTGAAGCGACAAAAAGCCCGATCGAGAATTTTCTCTCTCCTTTTGGATCATTCACCACTATTAATCTCTCTCCTCAAGCACTATTTCTCTGCTCCACGAATTGAAAAACCTCCATTAATTGCAGAATCGATGTCTAAACAGGTACGTCGTTTGAAAAACCTCCATTAAATTTCTCTGCTCGAATTTGTGCTATGTTTTCCAATTGTAGTGTATGAATTTGATCAAAGTGGTCTATTGATGTGTTCGATATCGATTATTGAGAGTCGTTTTAGTGTTTTAGTTGGAGTATTGTTTTAATTTAATCAAATTAGACTATTTAATGAGCATATATTGAGTTTCTAAAATCCGCAAATCGATTTAATTTCAAAATAATACATTATCTAGTGAATAGTGATGTTTTGAAGCTATTCAACTCTTCATTCGAACTAGTTTTTCTTGCTTTTCAGTTATTTTAGGTAATTTTGACTACTTTTGGAGCTTGAGTTTATTCTGATTGGGCTTATGGATGATTTATGTTATTATTATTTCTATTTTTGTGCCTCGTTGCAAAAGACCGCAAGCTAGTGTTAAAATTTGAGATTTTGGATGAAATAGCACAGGAAGCACCTTTTGTTAATTATGTAAGGAGTATTTGATTGGCTAAGCTTTCATATTAGTCAGTGCAATTTGTTTAACTAGCTCACATCATTATATGAACTTATGGTGTGAATTGTTGACATGTAGCAGAACATGTAAATATTAGCTTAGTCATTGACTAGTTGGTGATTTGCAGTTTAAGTTCTTTTGTGTGTGAAAGCTACTTGGATGTCTTAAATTTTAATATGAAGTATTAATGTGTAAGCAATTATGATTTTGTACTTGATGATGCAGTAGTATACTTCTTCTACTCATGATTTTGAACTTGATAAACACAGGGCTTAGAGTATTATACTTACAATTCTGAAATGTGAATATCAAGCGATGAAAAAAATATATATAGTTCACCGGTCCTTTTCTTTGATTTAATTGGCTTAAGTAGATATGTTAAAGTACAACTTTAGGTTGAACTCTTGAAGTAAGTTATAATTCACTAACGCAAATTTATTTGTCTTTGGACCTCAAAGATAGAAGTATTAATCATTCTATACTGATTTTGAATTACTCTTTGTCATATTGCTTCACAAGGACAGTATGTTAAGGACCGCATGTGGTGCATTACCTGTATTCTGTAATGTGTATATGATTAGCAACCAAGTTCTTGTGCTGATCATTATTGTTAAACTTACTCATGTAGTATTGGCTAAGGGGCTAGGGTTATGATGTAAGCATCGCTTGAGCGATTTCAAGTAGTTGTAGGATTTCACTAACTAGGTTGATAGAAACTAGGTTCAGAGTTAAGAGTTTGTGTATTCTGATGCAGCGTATTTTCAAAGGTACGGAGGTTGGCTTGGGTGTTATAATTTGGGATGCATAAGGGAAGATTATGGCTGTTATGGTGCAAAGATTGAATGCGTGCATAAGTGGCTGTTATGGTGAAAAAAAGTAAGCAATATACTGGTAGAAACTCATCTGCATAGACTACATTCATAACATAAAGATTTTACTTTAGAAGATTAAACTGTATGGGAAACCAACATTTAGGAAAAGAGGTTGTAAAATCCCTTCAACCTGAGGTGGTCAACAATCGTTTTCTTCAAGAAACAGAGTTTTACTAACAGCATATGGGGGGGGGGGGGGCTGAAGTAATAAAATCTTGCTTTAAAAAAAAAAAAGGTCATAAGATCTTAGCATGATACACCTTAATCTTGGACTGATAAATTCCATTCCAAATGTTCAGATTAGCAATAATTAAAATCAAAAGATGAAAAGATCCTCTAACATTTGCAATATTAATATTCCAATTAATCCATAAATACTACAACCTGCAGATTCTTGGATTGGGCCATATCAGACTTGTGCAAGAAACTATTTTTTATGAGGTCAACACAAGATCCTATAATGCTAGCTGCAGGTTTCACCAGGTATATCTATGACTATAATGCATATGCTGCCAGAGTCTCTTCCAAGGTGAAGAGAAGTGATGCAGAATCTGCTTCTCCTGGGTAGGTAAAACCTCATATTAATCTGATTAAAATAAATGCACGCAATCCTTAATATGAGTCACTCACTAACAAGCTTATGCCTAATCTCTTCATGGATAACATATAAATTATCCTTCACAATACCGTCCTTAATATTTGCGTCAATGTATACGACTGTTGTTTGTTAATTTCATAGAATGGTCATAATTCTAAGTAGTCTCTAAAGTAAATTAAAAAGAATATAAAGTAAATAAAAAAGACTTTGATGTAAACCTATTAGCTCAAGTGGTAGAGCACTATGCGGATGCATAGAGGTGTAGGTTCAAATCCTACATAGGTTATCTCTAAAAGTAAATATAAAACACTTTTAAGTAAATAAAAATATCTCTTAAAGTAAATCAAAGTAACTATAAAGTAATTAAGTCAAAGTAACTAAAAAGAAAATCAAAATATGCCAATATGCTAGTAGTCCAGATGCAAATCAAAATATATATGCCAATATGCTAGTAGTCTAATTCACAACAAGAACATAATACAAAACAAACACTCCATATCTTCAAGGTAGATAAAAAATACTAAAAAGTAAACTAAAATGTTCCAAAAGTAAATCAAAATTCTTCAAAATATAAATCTAAAAAATAAAACCCTCTACATAGGTTATCTCTAGAAAATAAAACCTACTAAAGTTATTTAAAATACCTTACAAGTAAAACAAAATAACTAAAAGTAAATCAAATTAGCTCTAATGCAATGAACTAACTTAGCTTTTAAATTTTAATGACTATGAAAACTTTGTTACTTTGCTATAGCACATAGAGTATGAGTCATTGACTATCATATCCTTAAAGATTAGTCAATGAATATGTAGCTTACTGTAAAGGTTTTCAAATTAAAAGTAAATAAATTGATACCAAAAGTAGATTAAAAAAAAAGTGAATAATTTTTGTAATTTTTTTTTAAATGCATATGTATAATGAAATCAGTAAAAGTGATATATAAGTGTAGCAAACTAAGTCATTTAATTTTGTATCACGATAAGATAGAGCCAAATCATAATCCACATTACAAAGTGAAAAATAATTAAATTTAAAAGAAGCATATGAGGTTAAAGTAAAAGTTTTCAAATAAGAAGTTAATAAAATTATACAAAAAGTTATAAAAAAAAAAGGTTTACACAAATGAACCTACGTGGGATTTGAACCCACATTTTTTGTGCAATTGCACAATGCTCTACCGATTGAGCTAGTAGGCTAGTGTATATTTCACATTCAATTTTCAATTTTCAAAAAAAAAAAAAAAAAAAAAAAACCCTCAAAAGTAAATGAAAAAAATATCAAAATTAAATCAAAACATCCATACAGTAAACGTAGTGCAATTTCTTGTTTTCCAGCGCGCATAGTCACCAAAGTTAGACTCGAGATTAACACAACATGAACCATGCATAAAGAACAACATACATCAAACAGAATTTTAACGTCAAATGTGCATCAATATTTTAATCAGTTATTGTGAATTACCTGTACGCGTGAATGCTTGTACATCGGTACCTGCTGATTTATTTGCATTTAGAAGAGGCTACAGAGCCTTAAGGCCAATCGTCATGTTGGGCCTAAACTCAGCTACATACTGAACACATAATGCTACTACTGATGCCATTTGATCAATGCCAAAGAGCCAACATTATAAACACATACATTGGAAATATACTTATTAAACTAATAATGTATCTCATTGAAAGTAAACATGTGAAAAAACACGAATATGGTCTTCCGAGGCAACCCTGCAATGAGCTTCCCTGTATCATTACTTGTTAACACGTACAGCCTATTCGGTTGTGTAGATGATGGGACCGAAGCAAACCACCTATCACAAACTACAAACTAGGTTACTAACTCCTAATAAATAGGTACACAATCTGGGTTGATTACATTGATCACGGCGTCCTCCATCCCACTTTGGAGTCTGCTTGAATTCTGTGCAAATCCTTGCATTGTTGGGGCCATCTTCTTTTGTGCTGTTTCTTGGCTTTAATACTGACCAAATACCTACTGAATACATAATTCTTATAATTACGGTAACTTCATTTTGTTTTGGCTTGTTAGGAGTATTACAAGGTCAGGGTCAGGGTCTTGGATGAAAACACTCTATTTTTTTAGTCTTTCTAAAGTGATTAAAAATAAAAGAAAAGTGAATAAAAAAAATACTCAAAGTAAATAAAGATTTCAGACTCTTTACATCCTCATAGAAGAGTATCAAAGTTGAATATCCTACATCTACAATGTTAATAGTCCTCATGACAATTAAAGCATGCTCCACACTCCACCTTGCCCTCAAGCACTTTACAGTAACAGCAACAATATACCTAGAGTCATTCCTAAGAACTGCACCCAACCCCACCTGGTTTTCAACAACCAAGTGGGCATCAGAATTGATTTTTATAGCCCCGATAGCAGGAAGACGCCAAACCCAGAGTTACCAGCACTTGTAACCTCAATAGGCCCAAAAACTTTAGCAGCATACTGTGAAAAATCATGGAGCGACTTTATGATATTTGTAGCCACAATGCAGGGTCAGATACTAGTTCTTGATGCACTCTCATAGTCCTGCAGAAATAAGATTCCCAACTTATAGTACAAAATAAACTTAGTTCTTTTTTGTCTAGCCTGTTTGCATCCCACAAAAACTGATCAACAAAGGGGGAAGTTCGTAACAGAAGGAAGCTATTATGAGACCATATGTCATACATACCAAGTCCTTAGCAAGCTTCCAACCAAATTCAATTAACAAAATTATCGGAATCATACACTTGACATCATAAAGCACAAACAACAATTCGTACATCAATATTCAACCAAGTTAATATCAATAGTTCATTGATTCATTTCAATAGAAATCAATTATTCCATCCCTAAAAAATCAACCCAGAGACTAATTAAAAGAAATTAACCTAAATTAAAGAAAAATCAAGTAAGAAAAAATAATTAAGCAAAATTGCAAATTGCTCAAACTGTTAATAGCAAAACCCTAATTTCAAATTCAAATAAATAATTTCAAATTCAAATAAATTGAAACACAAAAACACAAACTGTAATTGAAAATCGACAATTTAGATCAAAGTTCAGGTAATACTTCATATTCGAGTAAGTTGTCGAGCGTTTGATGAAAATCATTGAAGAACTGGATATAGAAAACAAATATTCGACAAATAGGAAGCAAAATTCAACAACAAAACTGCAAATGCGGAAAAATATAAATGTAAATGACCTAATATTTCAACAGAAATCACAAATACTCAAACAAATGATTCGAAAAACCCTAATTTTGCAATCAAACTCCCATAAAGTGAATTCAAAATCGAAATAATATAGAAATAAAACAAAAAATTTACCTCAATGAATAACAAAAATTGACGAATACGAAGTACTAGAAGATCGAAATCGAAGAATCTGAATAATTAATTAGCACAAGCAAAGAATTGTAATCGCGAAAAATCGCCTTTGAGCAAATTCGAACATAGAGAGAGAAAATGCGGAAGAAGAGAGAGAAAGGAAATAAGCGGCGCATGAATTGGAAGGGAGGTCATTCAACCGATGAAATTACAAAAATACCCTTAATGAGGTGGGTAAAGTGTAGGCCGTCAGATCTAACGCGGTGGACGGCTCATATGAGTTCTTAGTTCGTATTATTCGAGCTAGTTCGCACATGACTCTCTCTCTCTATATATATAGTTAGTACATAATCCTCTATATATATCTATATTTTATCAAGGAATTTTTTTAATCTCTTTGATGAGAGGGTATAAATACCCCCTCACCCTAATAATCTTTACTAAGAAATGTTCAGCCGTAAGTTTAGATTTAACCCATAAAATTTTAACAAAACTTTGTTAAACTTTATTTTTTTTTTTAGCATGGAGATGTCATGCGTAGTAAGCTTACATGTATGATCATATTGTTGGTTTGCTCCATCGTATTATTTTCAAGCTATAGCATAGTTCATTGTTTCATGGATCTTTGACTGTGTTCACTGTATAAGTATCGATGATCATAAGGTACTTATACTTTATCAATTTGGAGATGTTTGATTGTATTATTAATTATGTGTAATCACACGAATTTACTTTGGATTTATTTGTAAAGTTATTGCTTTATATTATTGTATGATTTGATATTTATATGCTTGAGTTTATAGCTATGATCCATGTGTATAATTTTATGATATGATTAGATTTAATTGTCTTTTTATTATTGTTGTATTGATTGATTGTTCTATTTTTCTGGGATTTTTAATGTTGTTTCCATAGGGAGCATTGTTTTATCGAGTTTTAGGGTTGTTAATGTAGAGTATTATTTTGGAAAAATGAAAATTAATAATCCCACCTTTGCCTTTTTTGCTGAAAACAATCCCACCTTTTCGAAATCTGGAAACAAGCCCACCTTATACCCCGATCTTCTTATAACAAGCCTTTTAACTTGTAACCTACACAACTGAATAACCTTTTCCATTTCCCTCCATCTTTCTCACCTAACCCTTTGTTCTTCAACTGATTTTCATGGGAGTTACGAATTGAAGAAAGAAAAAAAAAAATTCTCAAATTAAAAAATGTGGTTAATGGAAGGAAATCAAACATCAAGTCTTGGATTCAAACGAACGTCAAAGTATTTTCGTAGTAATTGTGGATTAAGTGCGATTTGCAGGAGGCAAGAGTCAGCATTTAGAGATAAAATTGGGAACCCTAACTTGCTGAATTTCGCTTGATTGTGTTAATTTGTCTATGTTTTAGTATAATTGCACAAATATGATGAACTGTACAGAATTAATTGATTAATTCTATATGCAGATTGTTCCAATTTGTATATGAACCCTAATTTGCGAAAAAACCCCCTTTTTGATTTCTGATTGTTATGGACTATGTTACGCTGAAATTTTATCATGGTGGTATATTTAGGAAAGGAAAAAATGGTTTGTGGGAGTGTGTGGGAGGGATGTATAGGACTTTTGTTGTTGACCGTGATGAATTATGTTAGTTTTATTTGAAAGAGTTAATTACTAAATGTGATGCTTACAGTGATGATGTAAAGGTGTATTATTTAATGTCTGGCCTTGATTATGAAACTGGATTGAGGAGTGTGTATGATGATAATGAAGTGAGAGAAATGGGGGAGGTAGTTTTTGGTACTAGAACCCTTGACTTGTATGTAGTGCATGATGGTTTGGAGCTAGACTTTTTGAAGTCACAAACTGGATCTAGTGGATTTGCCCAGCCCATGAACAGCCCAATTCATGCCAAACCTAAAAAACTGACTCCTAGAAGGTCAGACAGGTTGACCAAGGAATCTTGTGGGGTGTCAGGCAACTTGCTTTAACTAACACAAAGCACCAAAAATTCAAACCCCACAGTGGTCCCCACAGAAAAGAAAAAGACAAAACCAACCTCTAGGGCAAAGAAAACTTGCCCTGAACCTGTAATTCTAGTCCCTTCAACCCCATTTATTCCAAAAAAACCCTGTTGAAACACAAACACCCCATTTTGCTACAGCTGCCCACTTCAAACCCTCATGATAATTTCATTAGATCTAGGGTTCCTAATGATTATGATTGGGAAGATCCTAGACCTAATAGCCTCATCCCATTAGACACCTTATTATATGATGCAGACCTCAGTGGGGATGAGTGGGAAAGTGAGGAATATGAGAATCATAATTTGAGTGGTGAGCAAAGTGTTCCAGATTATGTATTAGCTCATGGCATAGAGTACAATGAAAATGAAACTGAGGAGGATGATTGACAAGCTGATTAACAGATTTATGAAGCTAGCTTTGGGCCTGATGGTGAACCAATTGTAGAAGAGGATCTTGATTAATTAAGGGAGCCTAAGGTGTTAGATTTAGATACAAGTGATGATGAATAGAGAGAAGCTAGAGAGTTAGTTAAGGGATATAACTCCAATGTCATTGAGCTAGCACATAAATTACAAGTAGAGGTAGCTGAGGGGTTGCAACTGCACAAAGGAGAGAAGGTTCAGGTGTGAGGCAACAAGTGAATCAGGATGGGACTGTTGTTTTTGAATATGAAGATTCAGATGATGAGGTACACACACCTACTCCTACTGTTGAAGATGAGACTGTAGAAGAAAGAAAGCAAAAAGAGGGCTGCTGATTGGCAGGGAAACAGATTATTCAAAGTTTGAGAGGAAAGTGGGACAAAGATTTACTTCAAGGGAATAATTTAAGCAAGATGTGACAAATTTTGCTATACTTCAAGGTAGGAACTTATGTGTTCAGGCTGCAAATAGAAAAAGGCAGAAGAGGATTGGGGTGAAGTGTAGTCAGGGGTGTCCATTTTTGTTATATGCATTTTGGGATTCAAGGAGAGGCTCATTTTTTGGGAAGACAGTGGTGACTGAGCATACTTGTGTAAGGAATATGGAGAATAACATTAATCTTAAGTCCACATGGTTGGCTGACCAGCTGTTAGATGTTTTCAAGGCAAGGCCTCATTAGCATGTTAAGGAAATTATATAAATAGTTAGGAGAGCATACATGATAATAGTGAAGAAGGATTTTGCATACAAAGTGAAGTATTATGCCCACAGGAAGCTCCATGGGTCTATGAGGGATCATTATGGGAAGTTGGGGAGATATCTTGAAGCACTGAAGAAGGCTTTCCCAAATATTGATGTGGATTTGGAAGTGGATTTGGAAAGTTTCAAGCACAACAACAAGGGCCCCTTAGTGTTCAAAAGACTGTATCTTTGCTTTGATGGTCTAAGAAAAGGATGGATGCAAGGCTGTAAGAAGATCATCTGTGTGGATGCATGCTTCCTAAAGACCTTTCTTGGGGGCCAACTGATGTCTGCAGTGGGGAGGGATGGAAATTACCAAATGTACCCTATTGCATGGGCAGTGGTACAAGGAGAAAACAATGATTCATGGGAGTGGTTTCTTACACATTTGCAAAAAAGCATAAGTCTTGCTGATAGAGCTGGATGTGTAATTGTATTAGATGAACATCAGGTATACCTCCTCAATTTTTTTTTCTTTATGTTATTATTATTTTATGTTGCCTTTATTTATTTGTTTTCATTTTTGTTTTGGTTGAACACAGTCAATTATAAGGGGTGTGTCAGAGGTACTCCCAAGAGCTGAACATAGGTACTGTGCTAGGCACATATTTACCATGTGGCACAAGAATTTCAAGGGGGATGCGTACAAGCTGATGTTTAGAAGTTGTGCAAAGTCATATAGTGAGGCAGACTACAATGAAGCCTTGGAGAAGTTGAGAAAAGCAGACCCACTTGCTGCTGAAGCTCTGAAGTCATACAACCCATCTCTTTTCTGTAGAGAATTCATGAAGACAGAAATGAAGGTGGATGTGTTACTAGCAATATGGCAGAGACATTTAATGGATACATCATCAATGCTAGGGAAAAACACTTGATTTATATGTTGGAGACATTAGGGCAGCCCTGATGAAGAGGCTAGTTACAAAGGGAGTTGAAATGATGAAATGGAAGACTGATGTGTGCCCTAGGATAGCAAAGAAGTTGTTGATAGAGAAAGAAGAAGCTGCAATGTGTGATGTAATCCCATCTACTGCTACTGTGTTTCAAGTAAATTATCGTTTGGACACACTGAAAGTTGATCTCAGTGCAAGGACTTGCACTTGTAGAAAGTGGGATATGACTGGGGTTCCTTGCTGTCATGTTGTTGCTGCAATCTTTTTTCACACAAAAATGCAGAAGACTTTGTTCATCCATCATATAAGATAGAAGCATACACTAAGGCTTATGCAAACTCAATCCCACCAATTGATGGTGAAAGGCATTGGCCAAGAATTGAATTTGATCTAGATCCACCATCCATCAAAGTGGGGCCAGGAAGACCAAGAAAAAACAGGAGGAAGGACCCATTTGAAGATCCAAAAAATCAGGAAGGCTAATTAAGCATGGGATTGAAATGACATGAATCTTATGCAAAGAAAAGGGTCATAACAAAAGGGGGTGCCCCTACCCTTCAACTGCTACAGTTCAAACAGAAGAGCCACCAACAAAGAAACCAAGGGTCAGGCCAAAGAAGACCCCTATGCTAGACCAACAACTACAGTTACAACCTACTACCCATCATACAGCAACTGCAGAACCATTAAGATTAGGGAGAGGGGGTAGAGTTGTCAGCAAGGGTGGTGCAAGCAGGGGAGCAAGGGGAGGATCCAGTGGAGGGTTAAGTGGTGGAAGGAATGGGGAAGGAACTGGAGGGAGAAGTGGTGGAAGGGGTGGACAGAGTACTATAAGGGGAGAGAGAGGTGGTGGCTGAGAAGCAAGGGGTGGTGGCAGGTCATCTGCACCTCAAGGTTTTTGTGTTTTGGTCACACCTAATGGAAAATCTATGATACATGTAAGTACTCCAAAATTCTATTTTTTATTTTATGTTATATGATTGTCATTTGATTTTGGTTAGTCAGAGGTTATGTGACAGTAATATTCAGTTTTTTTTTTATTTTTTTTTGTGTAATGCAGGCACTAGGAACCATTACACCTCAAGATGTTTGTGCATACACAAGCACCTAGTCTTACAACTTCAGCCAAGGATCTACTTCAGGAAATGTTAGCCAGCGATAGATTAGTATTCTGATTATGGCTTAAGTCTGTTATTTTTGGCCATAGACTTTAATTTTTAGGAATATGGTTGTGGCAATATTAGTGTATTCTTAATTATGTAGTTGTGACTAAGATCACAGAAACTTTAATTTTGTTGTGTAGCAAACAATTTCAGCTATGTTATGTTTGATTGAAAAGGAATTGTACTCCATTCAACTATATAATTGTGTTGCTATGTGATTAGTTTATGTTTGTTAAACTCATTAAGTTGTCCCATTTTTTTTTTTGACAACAAATCAGAAAAAAGTGAAACACAAAACAAACATATATGTATAGTAGTCAAAGACATCATATTCATTCACTGCTTCATTTCCACAAAATACAGATACATAATGCAACCCCTATAATTTTCAACTAAGAGAATATCACCCCACAAAAGTACTACTATGCTGCATTATTATAGGTTACTACATCCATAAACATCAGCATCATCAACTTTACATGTTAATTTTTCCCAAAAACAGACACACCCCACAACATTAACCCACCAACCTAAGACATACCCAAAAAAAACCATCACCTTCCCCTTCCAACCCTACCAACACAGCCCTACAGAAATTGCTTGAACACTAACTAAAGTGTAAAAAGCCCAAGAGAACACCAAACACAAAATTAATTTCTTGTCCTTGTTGTTTTTATTCATCTCAAACAAAGTTTCAATGGTGGCTATCCCCATTTCCGCAACCTCGTCCTCCAATTTCTCTTTTTTCTTCTTCAAACTTTTATCTTCTCCTTTAGAAAGTCCACCTTATCATGCAATTCAGAAATAATTGAGTCCCTTTGAACAACAATCCCTTGCAAATCGCGTACATCATCAACCTCATCCACCCATTTAAAGAAACCGCAATTCCTTTGTTCCTACAAAATTCATTCAATTATTATTCTACAATAAAATTGAAATTATACTTGGAACGATGCGGGTGATTTCTTCGACCTTGAACTTGAAGTTGAGCCAATTGAGTGGTGACTTTCCATTGCAAAAAGGAGAAGAAAGTTGCAAAAGAAAATTCCCAGAAAGAAAATGAAGAGGAGTGAGAAAATTGAATGGGGAGGAAGAGAATTTAAGGGAAATGACAAAGAGGGAGGGAGGAGATTTAATGGAGAATTAAATGATCTCCAACGGTAATTTGTTCAAATTAAAAGAATTAACCGGAAAAAAGGTAAATTAAATAAACCGGTTACTAAATGAAAAAGGCTTGTTATAAGAAGATGGGGGTACAAGGTGGGCTTGTTTCCAGATTTCGAAAAGGTTTAGATTGTTTTGAGCAGAAAAGGAAAAGGGGGATTATTAATTTCCATTTTTCTTATTATTTTTGGATTGTGAGTTAATGAATTTTGGGTGCTAGTATTATTACCCTAAGAGTTGAGATGTTTATGAATCAAATTGTCATGTTATTTGGGAACATGTGCCATTGTTGAGATTGTTTATGAATAATTATTTGATCGATATATGAGATCAATAGGTTGAAGAATTATTATTTTGTTCTTGATTTGAGGCTCGGTGTTATATACCTTAGTCCTTGGCATGTTGGTAAGGAGATGATAATCATGATTTAAGAATGAGGTACAATCTTTATTATTTATTTTTCTATGGTCCTCTACTGTGGGAATTGACCCGTATGTAGTCTGGTTCAAGGTGTTTTCTGGTTATTGAGAGTATTCAAGTTTCTATACTTGTTGGTTTGCTATTTGAATTATCCATGTCAAGGCTAGGTATAAAACAAAGAGCGTGGCACATTTATGGGAAAAATGAGTTGAGTAAAGGGTTGTATTATTATTCGAGGTTGAGTTGATAATGGTTATTTTTAGAGTACAATGTGCAATGTAGTTTTGAACTACATTATTTAATTGAGATAGTAATGTTGATTATCCTATTATCTCTGTATTCTGATATGTGATGATAACTCAGCTTTTTGCTGACGTGTGTGTGTTTGTTTGTTGTGCTATTTGTATTTGCAGCCATGTCTTTTTCCTATGGTGGCCCTGCAACGATCTATTTTGAAATTTGTCCTTATTGGTGAGCAGTCAAGTTTGTCTAAGCAGGTTAATAGGTGATTGTAGCTAAAGGAGTTCAAGTGTTTCGATTATTTTGCTATAACAAGTTTGTAAAGTTGCATAAATAGCTCACTTAGATTTATTGGGTTGTAATTATTGAGATTCTGTAAGCCTTAACACTTGACAAGTTGTTAAGTGTGGCACTAATACCTCCGATTTAAGTGTATGCTTCCGCAAATTTTATTCAAAGGTTGTTTATTTTTCCTTTATTTATTTTTTATTATTAGCTAGTAAATCGGGGGTGTTACAGGTAAGGTGGGCTTAGGTTCGGTTTAGGATCAGATTAGTATTTTGGCCATAACTTATTCGTTATAACTCGGATTTGGGCCTATAATATATCGTTGGAAAGCTCTTTTAAAGCCCCATCCAATTATTAAATCATTGGACCCTGGTTATGGACTAAAATAAACTGGAATACACGTTTTTACAAAAAGGACACGAAATGAATGATTTTAAAGGACACAAAATGAGGAAAAGCAGTTATGGTTTGGGGAAATGGGCTAGAAATTGGGTTGTTTTATGAAATATATTGGGATTGAATATGGATTTAAGCACTCCAAAGGTTAAATACTCTACCCGACCAATAATGACGGTGAAAGGTTGTTCATCATCGCGTTTAGTTTTGGGGAAACATTTTTAGGTGTCTACAGAAGCCCAACTTTGACTGAGTTTGTTGAAACGTTAGTTTAGAAAACGATAGTCAAAGTAATCGATAGGGACGGAGAATTATTTTAGACGGTCTACGATCCTAAATCACTCTCTATATGCAATACCTGCTATAGACACCCATTTGTGTCTCCCCAAAACCAAACCCAGTGATGAGTAACTTTCATGTCGAATCATAATCAAATGAAGTGAAGGTGTGGAAAGTCTTGTGTTACGGTTAGTTTTTATTTTTTCTCTTTCTCTCTATTTTTGGAAACATATTTTATGAAAATAACAAATCTAGTTTAGTTTGGTCCATGGAAAGGGTCCAATAATAGTGTAGTTGGGTCGGGTTCCAAAAGAGCTTTCCAACGATATATTATAAGCCTAATTTCGATGAATAATGAGGAAGTTATGGCCAAATTACTAACTGGACCCGATTTGATTCCTATATGCGGCCCAATGATCTAGAGGAGGGCCTATTATTGATTTATCATTCCTAATGTGATTAGGATTGATTATAATCTTCTAGAATCTTCTAGAAGGTTCTTTTAAACCCTAATTTGATTTGCATTGATAAATTGAATTTTAAGAGTTTTATTTAGAATAAAAGAAGTGTTTTAAAGGAAAATAGACTTTTACCCCTCTCGTACGCTTAAATTTTATCAAAATAAGAAAACGTGTGGAAAAATTGATTGCAGCGCCGCAATTGCAGTCTGTCGCCTGGCGACAGACCTGGCATCGCGGCGACACGCTTGGCGTCTGGCGACAGCCCTGTCGTCTGGCGACAGGCGCGTGTTTGGCGACAACTTCGTGTTTTATTATTTTCAAAACTCTGATTCTTTTTTATCATATCCGGCTGATTTTCTTTATAAATAGCCTCCTAAAACCTCCGTTTTAAATCATCAATTCTTCTCACCTATTCTCACCAACTCTCATCAAGAAATTCTTGATTACTCTCTCTCTCTCTCTCTTTTCTAAACTAGCCTTTTCACAGACAAAATTCCGCATTCACAAGATCTAGACACACCTAGCCAAGTTCGAATTTGCCTTTGCCCTAGACGTGAAAGGTTTGATATTTCTGAGGGTTTGGTCCCAAATCTCTCTTTCAATTATTTGATTTAATAGTTTGTTTTATATTTTCCTTGAAGTTACTAACGTGTGTATTTTGTTATTAGAAAGAGATACGAGGCATCCAAGTAAGTGTTTTAATTGTTTTCATTGTTATTATGATATAGAAATCATGTTTAGGATGTGTAGGCGTCGTTCGAAGTGCGCCTACGTTAAAGCATGTGGTGAATATGCTTGGCACTCATAGGTAGTGGAAATTTACATAATACGATTAGGGACAAGGAAAGTAGGGAGCCTCCAACAAGTTTTTAAGGAACTTGTAAACCGTTCACGGATCATAAAAGGCAACCACGATTAAGGGACAACGATAGGCAACAACGATTGACCCGTGAAGGTTACACCCCATTCATAATCCATGAGATTACTAACTCCATATGGTTCGGAACCACAAAAGGAGGATCGGGGATGATGGTATGAAGTGAGTCATGGAGTCACATTCGCCCGTATTGGCCTCTACTCGATTCTTATAGTGAAAAGTGATTCCTGCGATATACAAACAAAATATTCAATTTGCTCCAAAATATTATTATGCTAAATTGGTTGAATATTAACGCAACATATTATTCTAAAATATTGTGATCACTTGAATTAATAACAAGATTAAAAAGGATCCTTAATTGGTTGTCCAAATTATCTTATTAGTCGTGATTTTCAATTACATATTCCCTTTAAACATCCAATATGGTGATCATAAAAATAATAGAATAACATCAATATTGGAAGCAATTTAACAATAATTCTAACAATACAAAATCATTTGAAAAATAATAGAAATAAAAGTAACATAATTCTTACTTTGATTCTGTTTGTTTGCAACTATAAAATAATAAACGAGTTAGTATCTTCAAGGAAATAATAATAAAACAATAATTAAATTAAACTAAATAAAGTAGAGTTGATTTGGGGCCAAACTCTCAAACAGTTCTACCTTTCACGCCTTGGCTTAAGGACAGAACCACGAGTAATGTATGGACTCCTTGGAAAACTTGAAGAAGGAATTTTGAAAGAAGAAGGGTAAGTTTAGGCTAGAGCATAGAAGAGAGAAAAATAGAGAATTAATTCATGCCCCGTACATCAGAAATGAGGGGGTATTTATAGAAAAAATGTGCTGAGGGAACACACGAAACCCTAAAATGATAAAAATCCTAAAAAAAGTATCCCGCGACACGGTAAAGTGTACCGTGACACGGAAAATCCCACCGTCAGACTGGAAACATTCCCGTGACACGGTGCAAATTTTGTGTGACGCGGGAAATATTTAGTAAACGGGGGAGAAAACGCGTTAAAGGTTTATGCGGAAAGGACACGGAAATTCCCGTAATCGATAGGAACGGAGAATGATTTAAGACGTTCTGCGATCCTAAATCATTCTGTACATGCCGATACCTGCAGAAAAATGTTAATTTCACAGATAAAAGAGTAAAAGGATAGAATATGTATCTGACACCAGTGTATCGGTGACAAATGAGTTTGGCAGCTTCCTACGCTTGAAGGAATCCACCGGATAACGTTCGTTGAAACACTTTCCATGCCTGAGGAAAGCCGACTGAGGAGTTTGGTAGTTTTCTAAGCCTGAAGAAACCTACCGGATGAAACTTTCCATGCCCGAGGAAAGTCGACGAATGAATTTGGTGTCATTCTATGCTTGAAGAAATCCACCGATGATGCTTTCCATGCTTGAGAAAAGCCGACTTGGCAGTTTTCTATACTTGAAGAAAAATCCACCGATAACGCTTTCCATGCTTGAGGAAAGCCGACTTGGTGGTTTTCTATACTTGAAGAAAAATCCACCGATAACGCTTTCCATGCTTGAGGAAATCCGACTTGGCGGTTTTCTATACTTGAAGAAAAATCCACTAATAACGCTTTCCATGCTTGAGAAAAGCCGACTTGGTGGTTTCCTATACTTGAAGAGAAATCCACCGATAACGCTTTCTATGCTTGAGGAAAGCCGACAACTACTGTAATCGCTGAAATTTGCAAGTGTATGATGGTTCGATTATCCCCGAACGTGGGCTGCGGATGATTCACACCTTCAAGTCGATTATCCGACCATAATAGGTGTTTAAAATATCGACAAAATTGATTTTGACGCTTCCTAGGGGCAAAATAGTAATTTTGATACCCTTCAACCGTCAGTTAGAATTTTCCGCGTAATTTTACTGAAAAATTAACTGTCCAATTTGCGCGGAAAATCGTGCAATTTTGCTCAAATTGCCAGGAATATTCGCTGCTAGCATCGAAAAGTGTGCAGGACAAAAACTTGAACTCCGTGCCATGTGGATAAATCCCGTGACACGGTTCTAGATTGCCGTTAAACGGGAGGAACTCTTGTGTCACAGGAATTTTTTTGGCACAAAAAATCCCACGCGCTTCGTTCCACGCGCCATTCCTCAGTAACGGGAAATGTTGAACGGTTATTTTTGGCTTTAAATATCAGACATTGCTCCCATTTTTGTTCACTCACCATTTCTCTTTCTTCTCCTGCTCCTACTTCTCATCTCCATTTTTTCACCTTAATTTGCTCAGATTCCCGTTCCACGGCATCGACTCCCCAGCGCACGATTTGATTCCCGTCAGACGGATCTCCGTCCTGTGCCACAGCGGTTCTGCAGGTTTTTTTTTATTTTTATTTTTTTTCACTGAATTCTTGCTGCTGCTCATTGCTGCTCTGCCGTCGCCGTCACCTGAGGTTGTCGGAGCTCCGTCACGTCCCAGGCTCACCGTGACACGGTTGCTGTTACCGTGTCACGGCTGCTGCTGACCGTGTCACAGCGGCTGTGCTGCGGTCTTCACGGTTTTTCGAGCTTATGGAGCTCAAATCTTCATCAATTATACTCTAATTTTTTGCTACTTTCCTCATTTTTGATTCTCCACAATGATCCATGTAAGTTCCCTTTGATTTTTGTCTCGAATTTGCTTCAAACGAATAATTTCATGTAAAAACCCTTAAAAAACCAATTTGGGGAATTTTTGATTTTGAGGTTTATGTTGAAATTCTTGCCATGAATTTATTTGCATATGCGTGTATGTGTGTTTATGAGCTATTTGAGACAAAAATTGCATGATTTGGTGAAGAATTGAGCAAATCACCATTTTTGGTACTACTTGTGGTAAATGGTGTTCCTTGTTGTTCATGTTGTTCTTTTGCACTTGAAATGATGACATATTGGTTGTAGATTTTGTAAAATATGCCATGATGCGTTGATCTATTGTTTTTGTACAATTTTGAGACATGTTTTGTGTTGTGTATGTACCACATTGTCATGGAGAATATAGTATCATGCAATTAGGAGAACATAGTATTAGTTCGTCATGGAGAAAATAAGTACTATAAATAATTCCATTATCTTGCCAATTTTTAGCCTTGAGGTAAAAATTTAGCTTATAATGCAATAAATAACTAAATAACTTAGGAAGTGATGCTAAGCATTTATATTTTTTATTAAATGCAACTCGATATAAATAACTAAATGTCTTAGGAAATGATGCTAAGCCTTTAGAATTTTATTTTTATAATAGCATGCCTAGACGACGGGATTGCGATCTTTCCACTCATGGCCGGCGTCAGGCTTTTCGGGAGGACACTCCCACGATTCCCGAGGGTATGGATGATGACGTCTTAGAGTCCGAGCCTAGGGCCTCTACGGGTAGAGGTAGGTGGGCTCCACCTCCGTGGACATCAGACCAATTGGTTTTCTGTCGTGAGAACCACGTTTCTCATCGTCCACTTGCCGGCATAGTTGACGGCACGCTTCGCCATCACAGTTCTGGAGCCGGAGATTTGATTCCTCGACTTCATCAGATTATCACGAGGGATCCTGCTACGAACGCCTTATGGGAATGAGCTGGTTTAGTGGACTTTTATTTGGCGGTCGTAGGGTTTCTCAGCCCCCGGGGTTGTGGTGCGACAGTCGTTCGCGCGTTGTTGGAGTATTTTTGGGATACTACCAACACCTTTCACTTTGCTTGGGGGGAGATGACAGTGACCCCTCTGGACTTTAGCATGATTAGCGGTCTACGCTTCACTCACCGGGCCGTAGCACAGATGTCTGATCTTTCTTGGGGAGCGGCTGAGGCAGCTGATTTGTTAGGTCCGATCGTTCAGCATATCAGAGCCCAGCCAGTGTCTCGAGGTGGACCTAGGAGCGGGCGATCAGAGTTGGCTTCGGTTCTAGCCCGTGGTTTTGACATGGAGGAGACGTCATCTTAGCAGCGAGTGCGGATCTTCATTTTGATTCTCATTTCCATGACTCTTTCTCCTGATAGGAGTTCGCGTGCACTCCTTTGCTACCTTCCTTCTTTAGTCAGGATCAGTGAGATAGGATCCTTTAGATGGGCCAGCCTCGGATATGCCAACCTTCTCTTGTCGTTACGTCATGGCTGTAGGAAACTGAACGACGAGTCCCCTGTCACTGTCTACGGTTTATGGAGAGTCGTAGAGGTGACGATCTTTTCCTCTTGTTTTATTTTATTTTGTTCGAATCATGTGCTCAAAGATTACTTTTCATTGCAGCTATGGTTCTACAATTACTTCCCAGGATTGGCTCCTCGACGGCGTCGGGGAGCGGTTCATGACTTCCCTGTCGGGGCCAGCTGGCGTGACCGAGGAGAGTCACGGGTGGAGTCTGTCTCTGCGCTGCGCGGGCTGCTACGCCGAGGCACCTCTTCTGTTGGCGTAAGAATTAGTTTTGTAGCCTGTTATTTTCTCTCTTGACGTTATTTCCGGTGCTTAATGCCAACTTTTTATGGTTTTCAGGTTGCTATTGATGTCCAGTATCGTCCTTAGGCTGGGATGACTAATCTTCCCGAGGCCTTGAAGCTTTCAGCGTACCGCACTGTTTTGTTTGGTACCGGACGCTTTGTCTGGTATCTGGGGGAGCGTGTCGTTCGTCAGCACAGTGGTGATCGCTTTGTGGTGCCTTATCTCCACCGGAGTCGATGCTAGACTCACGCTTGCTTAGGGAGTTGATAAACAGGGGAGAGCGCTACACTTTTCCTTGGCAGGAGCTTGTGCGCATGGAGGGTAATTATGCGCAGGACTTGCTTCCCTCTCTGGCTCCTCCACCCCGCCTTTCTGAGGTATGATTTCTTTTGAGGAGTTTTGTCGCTAGTCTCTGTTTAAATAGTCGAATAACTTGATTATTCGATCGTATTTTCAGATGACTGTTCGTCGTGTGGGGAGGATTGAGATTCCTCCTCAATCTGTCCGCTACCCAGGGCCGATTGGTATTACCGAGGACCATATTGCTAACGCGCCAGAGGGTTTCAGACAGGCGCAAGAGTCTCTGCCTGAGATTTTTGAGCCGGTAAGTTTTTGATGCATTATTCATCCCTTTTAACACCGCTTGTTACTGATTTTTATCTGTTTGAATTGGTTCTCTGCCTACCCGCCCGGAGATGATGGGATTCATGAAGCTGGTTGACGCTCTGAAGTACTGCATCATCAAGCTTCGGCGTGGTGCGAGTTGTCGGGGCAGTTCTGGCGATGTTCTTGAGGTATGTTCACTTTTTCTCATTTCTACCATTTGTTTTATTTGGATTGTTGACACCTTTTGATTTTATATCCTTCAGGAGCAACGGAGGTCCCGCTAGCGCTCGAGGCATAGAGGCTCGGACGAGGGAGAGCCTAGTCGTGGTAGACGATCTCCTGAGGTTCATCGGCATTCTCAGTCTCCGCGGGATCCTCAGATTTCTCAGCCGTTTCAGGAGGCTCAGTGGCAGTAGCTTCGGTCTTCCCAGCGCTTTCAGAGTCAGGGTCAGAGGCAGCGACAATCGTTTTCACAGCCTTCACAGACTGAGTTCAGGCCAGTTATGACTCTCGTGGATCTCGGCTTATTTTTCAGCTCCATCGTCTAGAGTTCCTCCACCGGTGTCAGGCCTGTTTTTAGTTCCAGTGTATGGGACGATGCCTCCACCGACGATTCCCATTTCTTTGAGTCAGTCTACACCGTTTTCCAGTTAGACGGGTCCTGCTTTGAGTTTGACTGCTGCTGGATTACAGGGACTAGTTGGGATACTACTCCTCGTACTCGGATGATGGCGGGACTCTTTGGCTCACCGTTCCCATATTCACAGGCTGGAGATGACACTGATCCTAACTCTTCTAGTTCTGCAGATTTTTGACCAAGGGTCTTTATTTGTACATACAGTGATGACACTTGACGCTGCTTATTTATTATGACTCATTTTGTACATTATTCACAGTTTATGTATATATTGGTGTGTGTTATTGTGTGCTTGAGACTCATGTGTTATTGTGTAGTTATTAATGACGCGAATAAAAAAAGTAAGTGGAGGGTACCGACCTTCCCTCTCCCTAAAAGAAAAAGAAATAAAAAGAAAAGAAAAATCTGAATAAGTTTTACAACTACTCCAAAATAAATATGTTTGGAAATGGGACGAGGTTTATAACGTCCCTTAAGAAAAAAAATAATAAATGATAACGATGAATAAAATAATGAAAAAAAAAAATTAAAAAATTAAAAACAATAAAATAAAATGATAAAAATAAAAAAATAAAAATATTAATAAAAAAAGTTGAGAATTTTATTAGGAATGAAACTCTAGAAATAAAAAAAAAATAAACGGTGAAGATAAAACAATAAAAAAAAATTCGGATAGATACGGGAAAAGATAAAAAAAGAAAACGCGTGGGCGCCGCGACACGACACTATACACCGTGTCATGGCAAAATCTGCCGTGTCGCGGCAAAAATTCCTATGACACGGTGGGAATTCCCGTGTCACGGTGCGCGTATTTGACAAGCGCACTTTAGGGCGCGCTTTAGAGCATATTTTAGGATGATTTTGGATGTATTTGGGGCCGCTTTGGCCGATTATTACCTTGTTATGCTTACGTTCCCCATATTACGTGCTTCACGGGTTTTCGGTTTGTTTTTGATGTGTTTTCAAGTAATATCAACCGAGTTTAATCGGATCCCGAGCCCTTGATGCGTAACCGAGCTAGCCTTGACCGGAGTCCGAGGAGTTAAGGAAGTTCAAGTGCCGTACATTGATTACATAGCACAGGCAGCACGGCCGTGTTACCATAGGCACACCCGTGCTGACCTATAAGCAAGCAACCCCAGGCAAGGCAGCACGGCCGTGCAAGCCAATAGCACGGCCGTGTCAGTATCCACGCACCCGCACGGCCGTGCAGGCCATTAGCACGGCCGTGCCAGATGTTGCCCGTGCCCGTGTCAGCTTCAGTATGAGCCCCGTGCTAGAGCATATTAAGCACGGCCGTGTCATTTTTAGCACGGCCGTGCCAGGAAGCTGCACGACCGTGCCATATATAGCACGGCCGTGCCAATTTGAAGAAGAAACCCGGTTTACTTACTGACAAGCTAGCACGGCCGTGCCAAATACAACACGGCCGTGCTGATCCAGGGTTAACTGCGCGCTTGACTTCTCCGAATTAGAAGACGTATATAAGGCCCGACTTTAAGAGGATTAAAAGACAGTTTTTAGAGATAGTTTTGAGAGCCTTTGTAGAGAGTTATTGGAGAACGTTCTTATTATTAGAGATTCATTAGTTTTCTTAGAGAATTTCCTAGAGATTTTAGTTTTCTTGGATTGATTTGAAGCAAGATTTGCGAAGGTTCTTTGTATTATTCATTGACGACGGATATCAAAGTTCTGAATTTTTCCATTGATTCGCATCAATACAATTGGTATTATTCATTCTTGTTTATTAATCAAGCTTTATTATTCCTTAATCAGAATTCATGTTTATATCTATTATGCTTTTGGAATTCATTATTGCTTTGATTATGAATATGTGTGAGTAGTCTCCTAGCTAGGGTTTCGGGATGAAACCCGGCCTAGGTAATCTATGTAATTGAGGATTGATTTTGATAAACGGATTGTGATTAAATTGATTATATGCGATTGCATGTTAATTCATTATAATAGGAGTAGCTAACCTAGAATCTTGAATTTGATTGCATGATATTCTTGATTTGAACAAGAGATTGTGAATTGAGTATTTCATTATTGAATGTGGTTTGATTATGTATCGAGTAATGTTAAGTGCATGAGAAATCCAAGCTTAGTATTGCCCGTTGTCTTCCTATCACATGATATTGATCAGACTTATAGTCTTTGCATATCCCGTTTGTCTCTGTGATTCCTTGTTGCTTAGTTACCAATGGTTAGGCGGATTCCCGTTCTCCCTAGTGTCTTAGTTTATTGATTTATTCCATTTTATTAGTAGTATTTTAGAACACCATTTTCCATTGATTTCGAACTAGCTTAGGTTTAAGATTGATTTGCAATTACTCTCGTTCCTCGTGGACCGAACCTTTATTTGCCTTTGTACTTGGTTATAGGGTGTTCGTATAAGTATTGTTTGATTGAGAGTTAGATTGTAGCGACCGATTTAACCCCTGTCAGTATTGTACAACTGTGTGGTTTACGCGTATAGAAAGATAGATTCTGAGTAGTTCCGAGCGTTTTTACTATAAATAGGACCAGTATATTCATGATATGCATAATTACGAAATACAAAATAATTAGAATTTCATATTTCAATAATAATGTCTCAGAATTTTTATAATACATTGAGCGACTGGTCTTATTCTTTGACCAATGCTGACAAAAGAGAGTTGGAATTGTTTCATGTCAGGGGTTTACTAGCCCTGAGGCATGTAGCGATTCAACATGATTTTCTTAGGGCAGCATTAGACTATTGAAGTCCAGAAACACATTGTTTTAAATTTGATTACGATGAAATCTGTCCTCTGCCAGAGGAATTCGATGCCATCTTTGGATTTCCTGCTAGAAATCTTATTGCCATGCCTACCCTACGTGAGTATTATTACCAAGACTGAACGCCATCTGAATCTAACAGATCCAGATTTAAATAGAATTGTGTGTGGTAATGAGGTAGACTTAGATAAACTTGCAAATTTATATTTCAAGCGCCCTGTCTCTGAGTCTTGTCATGTATACCGTAGAAGGGCATATATTTTTTTGCATGTTTAGCAAGCTTTTATTTGCAAACGGTAGGGTAGGACATGCTTGTCTAGTGTCTGTGCTTGAACATGTTGAATCTGGGAGGTCTCCTATGCCTACGTGCCTTGGAGAAACATTTCGTGGCCTTGACGAAGCAAAAGCTGACTGGAAAGCCATCTGGAAGGGCTCTCTAGTACTGCTGCAGGTAAAAATACGCTCCGAGTAGCCCCCGTGACACAAAACAGGCACCGTGTCACGGTGGCCCTCTACCGTGACACGGTGAACTCTGCCGTGTCACGGTGGAATCTGCAATTTTTTTTTTGTTTTTTTTTTTTCGTAGATTTGGTTGATGGAGCGTCTAAAACTTTTTGAAGCCCCCGACGATATTGAAAAATATGGCCCTATCGATCTAGTCCGCAGGAAGAAGAATTACTCTGTGAACATGTCGTATGAAGATTGGAAGAATTTCTTTGCAAAGAGAGAATTTTCCATTCGTTGGGTGGTGCCTTGGTGGAGGCTTACTAGGATGGTTGGTACGAATGATACTCCGTATTGCCGTGTTCCTAGTATCTTAAGAATGACTTTTTATTGTCCTTCTTGACTGATGCGGCAGTATGGACTTGAACAAGTAGTTCCACGCTATAACGATAGTCCTCGTGAAGTATCGTTGCATGAAAGTAACGTTCACAAATACGAGACTTATTGGATTGGAAGACCTTTGTGGACCGTTTTTGCAAGTAACCAAGATCCTCCTCCCTTATCTATTGCATACAAGGAATGGTTGAATCCTAGAACTAGGAGGGAACGAGTCGGATCACGCAAATTTGATGTGAAGAGCCGTCTTGGAAATAAGAAAGCGCCTCCTAAAAATCGTCTAGGTCCAAGAACACAAGGTATTGAGTTTAAGACTCCTATAATGCCGAAAAGGAAGAATTATGTGAAAGGAAAGGGTAAGGAGAAGATGGTTTATAGAGAGAAACAACCAAAGAATATTAAGAAAGGTGAAAGGGGTGAAAGTTCGACTAGGGGTGTGATGGTTTGGGCTACAAAAGACACATTAATGGTGAAGGTCGACCTAGTTGAAAAAGAGAAGGAGGTTCCTAAAGTGAAGAGGGATTAGATCAGTATTGCTTTGCTTTTATGATTTATAATTTTTTAAAATAAGGCGCATGATGCCAATAATTGCAGTCACATTTATTTCAATAATAATAGCATATTTATTTTCGCCTTAAAAAAATTACAATGACTTTTTTTTACGTTATTTTTTTTAATATTCGAGTCAAGGAGTCGGACGCAATGGAAGAATGAAAATAAAAAACATCGAACAAATAACTGAATTCTACGTCACTAAA